GGTAATGGATCTCTACCAGGCTTTTTTAATCTTATGAGGTTCCCACCATTATGACCTAATCTAATGCATAGCCATCTGTCCCCAAACCTATCAACTTGGCTGGGAATTAGGGTTTTAACATTTGAATTTTGGGGTACACAGCATCAGCAGTGGATCTCCTAAAAATAAGCGGTTTCTTTATAGTTCTGCCTCTCACAGGCAAGGGGTCGGTATGTGATGCCCGGTATGTGGGACCTGTGTTTGGGGTGGCTTAGGTTTTCAGAGGTTTAGTCCATTATCATGCAGGGACATGGTGGTGTGCAGGCAGACATGGTTCTGGAGAAGGAGCTGAGAGTTCTTCATTTTGATCCACAGGCAACAGGAACTGAACTGAGACACTAGGCAGGGCTTGAGCATATACAAGCCCTCAATGCCCGCCTCCACAGTGACACACTTCCTCTAACAAGGCCACACCTCCTAACAGTGTCACTCCCTTTGAGCATATGGGGCTAATTAGATTCAAAGTAGCACACAGACTCAGCTGTCACAGGTACTTTACTGACTGCCGCCTCCCTAGCCCCAGAGGTTTTAATGAGACAAGCTATAATTAGCCATGTATTGGTGGCACCTGTAATCCCAGCACTTAGGCGGTAGAGGTGGAGGGATGGTCTTCCAAGGCCAGCTTCTGCTGTATAGTGAATGTGAGCTTGGTTTGGGCTGCATGAGACAGTCTCAAACAACACCAAAAAGAGAATTAAGCATTTAGAAGGGCTAATTGAGTCTGCCCTGGCAGTGGGCACTCTAATGATGGAGCTTCCCCTCCCCTCTTTGCCTCCTTCCCCAGGAGGCCCTTTTGTAAACATCTAGAGAACCTCTAGAGGAGGAGTTGTCTGCTAGCCCACACCATTGTGTGAACACACCTGCTAAGACAGCAAATGGGAGAAGACCCATCTGTCACATGACCAGTCAGCCTCCTTTCTAGACTGTTTCAGCTGTCTGTTTCCACCTGCTCGTCCTGCAGCTCCTGTCATCCACTCTCCCTCTGTTTTCCTGTCAGCAGCCCCAGTTTTGATCAATGGTCTCTCACTCGGCACTCAACCAGGATACCTGATAGCATTCTTGCCTGTTGCTAATATTTTAAAAAGATGTCTAATGAAACCTTTTCCTTGGCTGGTACAGTGTGGCTCAGTATCCTCTTATCCTCTCCCATTTGACATATGCAAATGCTTTGTTTATGTTCCTTCTCAGCTCCTCCTTCAGCTGACAGCCACTTCCGGGAGTCACCTTGCTTGCAAACCCCTGTGGTTTCCTGTTGCTTAGAGCAGAGACCTGAGGGTAATCTCTGGGCTGCACTGGCTGTCCCTCTGGGCTTTAAGGTTTATTTGGTGGCAGGAGATAGTTTAGAAGTTAGGAGTACTCACTACTCTTACAGAAGACCTGGGTTCCGTTCCCAGCACCCACAATAGCAGCTCACAACCACCTGTAACTCCAGCTCCAGGGATCTGATGTTCCCTTCCTGCCTCTGCGGCTCCTTCCTGCATGTGCACTCGGGCACACACACAGAGAAATACTATTTAAAAATTGTAAAGGTTTGTTTGTTTTTATCTTCTTATGTGAGTACTTTTGTGTACGAATGTGTACCACATGTGTTCACGATGCCTGAGGCCAGAGGGGACATTAGAGCCCTAGAACTGGAGTTCTGGGTGGCGAGCTTCAGCACTAGAATCATCATGAAGGTCGAGCGTCCCAGTTAGAGCGTTAGCTCTCGGTGTGACACTGCCCCTCCCATGCTCACCATGCTTCTGGGGTCTTCGTATTCTGGGCTCTTTTCTCCTGAGATCTTCAGTTGGTTTCCCCCTTAGAGCCAGCAAAACCTCAGATCTTTAGTGAGGTCCTTACTAGTCCTTATGGGATGGAGCGCTTAGCTGCCTTCCTCCATCGTGATTCCAAGCGCCTTGCCCCAATTCCTTACTTGCTGACTGTCTTTGGTACCGGTGAATTCTCTATTGTTGAGACCCAAGGGTTGTTTGGCTATACTTTGTCTTATTTTTGCTATACTCTTTTTGCACATCCTTACTCTCATTAATTCTCCTGTCCTATGCCATCCCTGGACACAGGAGGGGCGCAAATCAGGGCATGGACATAGCTGCGAATTTTCTGTTTCTAGGCCTACTTCCAGCAGGTAGTGTGGGATGAGCTTTCGAGGGCAGTGAAGTTCCCTTGTGTAACCTTCAGGTGCTGTTTCACAATGACGGTGACCTTCCTGACTTTTCACTGGTTAATCTTCAATCTTTTGCTAACAATCTGATAACATGTCTGCAGAATATCTTGCTCATAGGTGCCAGTATTGCTCTTTGTTGTATGAGGTAGCTGAGATATCGGCTGGCCGGTCACCTTGGTCACACTGTGAGACTAGGTTTGTTCCTTGTTAGGATATGCCTGGAAATCCCCTCCGGCTTGGACTGAGCAGCACCGTGTTTCCCGTGCAGGAACAGCAGTTAGATTCTTCCCCAGTCTTTCGCCATCAGCGGTTCCCCGGGGTCTCCGTACACAGATGTTCAGGAGGCAGGTGGAGGTAGCAAAAAGGAGTTCACACTAAAGCATTGGAATTATCCCCATGACCTATCCCTCAGGATTTCCCTGCCCAGTCTCCAGCTGACCTCACATCTCTAACCAGCAAGTAAGGTTGAGTGGCTTCAGGTTCTTGCTACTTTTGAAAAGCAGTATCCAGTGTTTTAAAACAAAGCCTTTTCTTGTCCTTTTTGGAAGCTCTGATGTTCTGAGCCTCCTGCTGGGCAGTCTTTGTTTTTATTATATATAATGTGCACTGTTCTCACATGTATTTATTATATATAATGTGTACTGCTCTCACATGTATTTATTATATATAATGTGGAGCACTGTTCTCACATGTATTTATTATATATAATGTGTACTGCTCTCACATGTATTTATTATATATAATGTGGAGCACTGTTCTCACATGTATTTATTATATATAATGTGTACTGCTCTCACATGTATTTATTATATATAATGTGGAGCACTGTTCTCACATGTATTTATTATATATAATGTGTACTGCTCTCACATGTATTTATTATATATAATGTGGAGCACTGTTCTCACATGTATTTATTATATATAATGTGCACTGCTCTCACATGTATTTATTATATATAATGTGGAGCACTGTTCTCACATGTATTTATTATATATAATGTGGAGCACTGTTCTCACATGTATTTATTATATATAATGTGGAGCACTGTTCTCACATGTATTTATTATATATAATGTGGAGCACTGCTCTAACACATATTTGTTTATTTTGATTGCTGTTTGAGACGGTCTCACTCTGTCCCCCGACTGTCCTGTAATTCACAGTGATCTAGCCGCCCCTGGCTCCTGGGCGCTGGGGTCAAGGGTGTGCACTCCTGTGGGCTCATGTGCCACACTGCTAACAATCTTCATTCACACCGTTCTCCTCCTCACTACTATTGCTGTCTTATAGATCAACCTCGAAGGCTTGGTTCTGTGTGTGGACTTTGGAAAGGGCCCCGCTGAGATATTGTTTCACTGCTTCGTATACTGGGCACCTTACCCGGGAAGGCTCACGGCGTGGCTGACACTCTGTCCAGGACAGCAGTCTCCTATTTTCATACACGTCTGCTGCTTGAGGCTCTTGGCAGGGACTCAGCTGGAACTGTGGTCTCCTCACAGCGCGGAAGCTTTGGGGATTTTCCATGCTCGTTTTGTAGTCCCCCTTCTGTTTTAGTTGATCATCTATATTGTGTCAAATTCAAGAGGGAGAAATTATAGTTTAGGTTCCATTATTTTGGTCCTGACCATTGACTCAAATTTAAGGATAGGACACACATTCTCCTCTGAATGAAAGACTTGTCAAAGGATTTGCAGACAGCCTTTTTGTTTTTGCTTCACCTTATGGTGCTTGTGATCAAAATATGGTTCTCTAATGGCAATGGGTTTTTGATCCTACTGCATGTACTGGCTTTGTGGGAGCCTAGGCAGTTTGGATGCTCACCTTACTAGACCTGGATGGAGGTGGGTGGTCCTTGGACTTCCCACAGGGCAGGGAACCCTGATTGCTCTTTGGGCTGACGAGGGAGGGGGACTTGATTGGGGAAGGGGGAGGGAAATGGGAGGCGGTGGCGGGGAAGAGACAGAAATCTTAAATAAATAAATTAATTAATTAATAAAAAAAAGAAAAAAAAATATGGTTCTCTGATTTCCTATTCTCCACTGCTGGGCGTTGCTCCAACACCTGTGGGTGCTAAAATCTAAATGACCATTTAAAGAATGGTAGCGCCCCCTGGTGTCCAAATACAGCTACATACATCTCAATAGGTTTTGTGGTTTGGTTTTGTTTTTGTTTTGGAGACAGAGTTTCTCTGTGTAGCTCTGGCTGTCTTGGAACTCGCTCTGTATGTAACCCAGGCTGTCCTGGAACTCACAGAGATCCGCCTGCCTCTGCCTCCTGGGTGCTGGGATTAAATATGTGCACCACCACTGCCAGGCCAATGGGTACTTCTTGAAGTGTGGTTTTTCATAACTGTAGTAGATAAGAACTTAAGTCATTTTAGGATTACAACTCTAATAAAGGAATAAGATAGTTTATTTAGTTATTTGGGACAAAGTCTACAACTTGCTGTGTAGACCAAGCTGGCCTAGCACTCACAGAGAGCTGCCTGCTCTGGTACTAACGGTGCACCGTGCACCGCTGATGTTTTACTTCTCAGATGCATTTCCTAGGGCTGGAGAGGCGCTGGGGATGAAGGCCTGATAGTGTTCTTCCGAAGGAGCCCATGTCAGGGGGCAGACCTACGTAATTCCAGCTCCAGAGGACCCTACCCCCTCTTCTGGCACCTGTGGGCACCCCACCCCCTCAACACACACACACACACACACACACACACACACACACACACACAAATGAAAGTAAATGTTTTTAGAAAGCGTTTATTGAATTTGATTTATTTTTCTGTCCTTTTTTCCTCTAGGAAACATTATTTAATGAAAAGTTCATGCTTGCGGAGTAAAAATGGCGGGCTTCCTAGATAACTTCCGATGGCCAGAGTGTGAGTGCATTGACTGGAGTGAGAGGAGAAACGCCGTGGCCTCTGTGGTCGCAGGCATACTGGTAAGTGAGGTAGCGTACTGGGGACATGATGCCTTGGCGGTCATCTTCGAAATGAATGTCCGTGTCCTTAGATGACAGCGGCCTTCCAGGGCCGCTTCACCTCACTGCTGCTGAGGATAGGTCATGGTATTACGTCGCCTGCTGGGGTTTCATTTTGTTTATCGAGGGGGAGATTATGTAGTCCAGGCTTGCCTTGCGTGTCTATCCTCCTCTGCCTTGCAGCTGTTGGGGTTGCAGGGTTTGGTGCAGTGCTGGGGTTAGTGTTGCTAGGCAGGCACCTTTTCAGCTGAGCTGAGTCCCAGCCCGCCATGCATGGGTCCATTTGATCTGAGGATGGTTTAGATTTGGTGTCTTTTCTTCGGCTGCAGCATCTGCCACAGCCTCAGAACCCGGTGTCACAGAGTCACTGTGACTGTGTACGCAGCGGTGACACCTTATGCTTTGTACAGACTGGCGCCTCCGCACTGCAGACTCAGAAAGAAGTCTTCTCTTTTGTTTTGTTTTGAGACAGGGTCTCATGTAGCCCAGGCTGGCCTCAAACTCACTGTGTATCCTAGGCTGACCTTAAGTACTAGGATCGAAGGTGTGAACGACAGAGTGGGCTTGCTTACTTTTCTTTCTGTTTTGCTTTCCTTTTTTTAATTATTATAGAAAATGTCAAAACTTTAAAAGAAAGTGGTTGAGAAGGGTGGGGAGGTGGGGTGTCCGCGTCCTTGGTGTCTCTCGCTCCTCCCCGGCTGAGGGCCCGCACCGCTCCTGGGCCTGCCTCCGCTTCCCGAATACCCGACTTGTTTATTCTGTTGTTTTGTAAATCATGACCCGAACAGTCTTACTTTATATCTGTGAACCATTTCCTGCCTCTGAGGTAGAGTAAGTGGAAAAGGCCAATTACTAGATACGGATTTATCGATTTATCCAGTGATTAAAGCTCCGCCTGTACTGCCTACTTGCCAAATATGACTTCACTCGCTACCTGGAGCAGAATGACCCGGAGAAGAGCTGAAAATGGGTCGTTGCCCTTAACAACCTCCTGACTGGCTTGTAGACTTCTGTAAAATCTTGCTTGCGCACCTGCCCACCCTGTGGTTTAGAGCATAAATTAAGAGTGCAAACAGGACCTGGATCAAGGCCTTCCTGGAGCTGTCCTGGCTTCCTTCCGTCGTGACATCTCCTCTTCCACTCCCTTTGCTGTCAGAGTGCTTATTCAAGAAAGTCTCCTGTAACACCTACTGCATTAAAACAAAACAGATGTTTGTCCCCCTTCCCCTGCTTGCTTTGGAGGCAGGGTCTTGGTATACAGATAGCCGAGGCTGGTCTCAAATTTGAGGTCTTCCTGCCTTTATCTCCCAAGGGTTGGAATTACAAGCATGTACCACCTTGCCTAGCTTTTCTTTCTCTCTCTTTTTTCCTCTTTTACTTCCTTCCTTTTTCCCCCCTTTTTTTTGGATCAGGTCTCACCAGGGCCCTGCTCCCCTGGAACTCACCAAAGCCCAGGCTGGTCTTGAACTTGACATGAAGCTTCTGTGTGCTGAGATGACAGTCATGAGCCACCATGCCCTGTCTTTCTCTTTTCTTTTGCTTTAGCTTTCTTTCGTCATATGTATTTATTTGTGTGTGTGTGTGGGGGGGGATTGGTGGGGTAACTGTGGTGCTTGTGTGTGGGTCAGAGGATAACTTTGGGAACTGCTTCTCTCCTCGTACCATGTGTATGCCTGGGGTGGACTCAGGGCCCTAAACGTTTACCTGCTGAACCATTTGGCCTCTTTTTCTTTTCTCCACGCTTTTTCACACAAGATCTCATATATCCCATAAGCATGCACGAGTTCTGCCCTATATTTAACTGTTATTTTACCTCATAAAAGAGTTGGGAGCATTTCTATAGATGTTTTAAAATGAATTTTGAACTCTCTTAAACATTGAGATTATGTAATTCTCTTATTTTGTCGTTTGAGACAAGGGCTCTCACACCTGACCTTCATTTCTCTGGACAGTCTTTGCACCTATCTGTTTAGGTGTGCTCAGCTTGGCTGACATGGAAACCTTACATTTTATATACTCATGTCCAGTCAGCTACAGGGTGCTTAATTAAACGATATAAACTAAAACAGTAGTTGGCTTTTATAGTGTGGGAGCTGTGGCAACTGGGTGCTGGTCAGTGATCAGCTGAGTAGAGCAGCCTGCTGTGGGGCAGAACTGCATGGGAGCCAGGGAGCGCCTGCTGGTTAAGGTGGCTGCTGACTGCTTAAGGAGGCTGCCGGCTGGTTAAGGAGGCTAGTCATGAGGTGGAGGGAGGAAACAAGCCATTCCTGATGAGACTCTTTTCTCACACCATCAGAGGTTAAGAGCAGGTAGATGAAGGGTGCTCACCTTTGTAACCTAGCACCCCAAACACAAAAGCAGCATTTGCTGCACCTGTGCTCGGGGAGGTAGCCACTACAGAGTGATGCTGTGAGCCTCATGACCTGCCTTCCTGGGCTCTTTCTCAGTTTTTTACAGGTTGGTGGATAATGATCGATGCCGCGGTGGTCTATCCTAAGCCTGAGCAGTTGAACCACGCTTTTCACACATGTGGTGTGTTTTCCACACTGGCTTTCTTCATGTAAGTGTGAAATGATTCTCAATTCAGCATTGCCTTTTGAAAAAAAAAATAGTCTTCCTGACCTTTAATGGTTTTAAAAACAACTTCTGGACTTTGTTGATGCATTCTTCTTTTTTTCTACTTTTTTGGAAGTTTTTATTTTTAATTTTTTATGTATAAGTGTTCTGTCTGCATGTGCACTTACACACTAGAAGAGGGCATCGGATCCCATTACAGATGGCTGGGTTTATTTCCCTGTGGGTGCTGGGAATGAACTCAGGACCTCTGGAAGGGCAGCCCGTGCTCTTGAGCGCTGCTGACCCATCTCCCCAGCCCTGATGGATTCTTTAGCATGATGGATTTATCCCTCTGTGTTACCATTCTGGCTGTTCTGGAACTCCCAGAGATCCACCTGCTGGGATTAAATGTGTGCTCCGCCACACCTGGCCTAACAGTTTAATTTTATTTATGTATTTAGTTACTGATTCATTTATTTTGAGATAGGCTCTTTCTATGTAACCTTATTGGAACTTGCTATGCAGACTCGAAAGGTTATATTATGAAGGCTAAAGCTGCTTACTCTCCATAAAGCGACCGTAAGTAGCCCTTCTATTAGCATACCTGTCCTCCCCCCTCTCCCTCTCTCTGTTTAACCTGCAGCCTTATTCATACTGTACATATGCTCTGACACTAAGCTATACCCAGCTCCTATTGGTCTTTTCAATATTTTTAAAAGTTATTTTTATTTTATGTGTATAGGTGTTTTGCATACATGTATGTAGGTATGCCACATACGTGCAATATCCATAGAGGCCAGCAGAGGGCACTGGATCCTCTGGAGCTAGCGTGTGGGTACTGGTAATCGAACCCAGTGTTTTAGCCAGTGCTCTTAACTACTGAGCCATCTCCAGCCCTACCTGTTTAGTTCTTCATTATAATGAAAACTTGAAAATGGGATAACGAACTCTGAGTCATCTATATATACTTGTATGAAGTAGATAATAAAACGAGAAACTAAGTGTGGTGGCTCACACCTTTAATCCCAGTGTTTGGGAGACAAAGCAGGTGGATAGATCTCTGTGAATTGGAGGCCAGCTTGGTCTATATTAACAGGACTGCAATAGTGGGACCCGTCTCAAAAGAGAGAAGAAAGAGAGGGAGAGGAGGTTAGCTGCCGTTTCCTGGTCTCTGGGACAGGTGATGAGCTAAGTGTGTTTCTGGGTGTGCTTTAGGGGAAACAAAAAAGAATAATATTTCGATGCACTTGCGTTTCTGTTTTGTTAACTACCTAGCTGTCAGATGTTGTCCCTAGTTGGGAAATAGTCATTTTTCTTCTAAATGATGTGCAATCCCGGTGTGTGTTGTACTGACAGGAGAGCTCACCGGCTGGTTTTGTGTCGTTCTAGGATAAACGCCGTATCCAACGCGCAGGTGAGAGGCGACAGCTATGAGAGCGGCTGTTTGGGACGGACAGGTAAGGCGCACCCCTGGAAGGGAGGAATGCTCACCAAACGTGGACGAGTCCGGAGAGAAGTCAGAGCCTCCTCAGGAGTCTTTTCCGTCTTTAGTTTTGTGTGTGTGAGTGCTTTGCCCGAATGTGTGTAAGTGCCCTCTGTGCAGTACCTGGTGGCAAGCAGGCCAGGAAAGGATGTCAGATCCCTGAAACTGAGGTAGGGACAGTTGTGAGCTGCCACATGGGTGCTGGGAACGGAACCTGGGTCTTCTGCAAGAGCAGCAAGTCTGCTCAGCAGCCACTCCATCCCCCCAGCCCTCCACCTTCATTTTTAAGACAGGATCGCGGAACTAGCTCATCGATGTGGTTGGCGTGGGCTCCAAGGGTCTGCCTGTTTCCTGCCACCCTGTGCTGGGGTACACTCAGTACTGCTGCACTTGGGGTTTATTACTGTGTGGGTGCTGGAGGTCTTGTCCACAAATCCTCGTGCCAGTGCCGCAAGCTGTCCACGGAGCCCTTGTTTAGAACCCATGGAGTGGTACCACCACACAGGGCAAGTTGCTCATCCCAGCCGTCTAGAAACTCCTGTGCGGATGTGCAGGATGTGTTTTCGAGAGTCTTCAGTCTCATCAGACTGGCAGTCAAGATTGGCCATCACTCCTGCTTCCTAAAAATGGGTTGGATCTACTTGAACGTCCAGAACCCTGGGCTGAAGAGACATTTGTGCCCTTGAACTCAGCAAGAGCGTGTAGTGCAGGGCATCTTCCTTATAGCCATAGAGCAGTCGGACTGTCCCTAAGGGCAGCTGCTGTGTGAAGGTTCGGGTGTGACTGTCCCTAAGGGCAGCTGTTGTGTGGAGGTTCGGGTGTGCTGTTAGAAGCAGACTGACTCAGGGGACCCTGGTCAAAATCCACCCCTGTTTGCCGGAGGTGGCCATCTGATGCAGCAATTATTTGATTATGTGTACAACAAGTGACCTTTCTTTTTTATTTTTTATTTTATCTTATTGATATTTATTGAGCTCTACATTTTTCTCTGCTCCCCTCCCTGCCTCCCGCCTCTCCACTTCAATCCTCCCCCAAGGTCCCCATGCTCCCAATTTACTCAGATCTTTTTCTACTTTCTACTTCCCATGTAGATTAGATCTATGTAAGTTTGTCTTAGTGTCCGCATTGTTGTCTAAATTCTCTGGGATTGTGCTTTGTAGGCTGGCTTTCTTTGCTTTATGTTTAAAAACCACCTCTGAGTGAGTACATGTGATAATTGTCTTTCTGTGTCTGGGTTACCTGACTCAAAATAATGTTTTCTAGCTCCATCCATTTTCCTGCAAAATTCAAGCTGTCGCTATTTTTTTCTGCTGTGTAGTACTCCATTGTGTAAATGTATCACATTTTTCTTATCCATTCTTTGATCAAGGGGCATTTAGGTTGTTTCCAGGCTCTGGGCTCCTATGAACATAGTTGAGCACATGTCCTTGTGGCATGATTGAGCATCCTTTGGATATATACCCAAAAGTGGTATTACTGGGTATTGAGGAAGGTTGTTTCCTAATTTTCTGAGAAATCGCCACACTGACATCCAAAGGGGTTGTACCACTTGCATTCCCACCAGCAATGCAGAAGTGTTCCCTTTTCCCCACAACTTCTCCAGCATAAGTTCTCATCAGTGTTTTTGATCTTGGCATTCTTACATGTATAAGATGGAATCTCAGAGTTGTTTTGATTTGCATTTCTCTGATGACTAAGGATGTTGAACCTTTCCCTAAGTGTCTTTCAGCCATTTTAGATTCCTCTGTTGAGAGTTCTCTGTTTAGGTCTGTACTCCATTTTTTTTTATTGGATTATGTGATCTTTTGGTGTCCAATTTCTTGAGTTCTTTGTATATTTTGGAGATCAGACCTCTGTCTGATGTGGGGTTAGTGAAGATCTTTTCCCATTCTGTAGGCTGTTGTTTTGTCTTGTTGACCATGTCCTTTGCTTTACAGAAGCTTTTCAGTTTCAGGAAGTCCCATTTATTGTTTCTCAGTGTCTGTGCTGCTAGGATTATATTTAGGAAGTGGTTCCCTGTGCCAATGCATTCAAGTATACTTCTACTTCCTACTTTCTCTTCTATAAGGTTCAGTGTGGCTGGCTTTATGTTGAGGTCTTTGATCCATTTGGACTTGAGTTTTGTGCATGGAGATAGATATGGATCTATTTTCATTTTTCTACGTGTTGATATCCAGTTGTGCCAGCACCATTTGTTAAATATGCTTTCTTTTTTTCCATTTGATATTTTTTGCTTCTTTATCAAGGATCAGGTGTTTGAAGATGTGTGCATTGAAATCCGGGTCTTCTATTCGGTTTCATTGGTCCTCCTGTCTGTTCTTATGCCAATAACAGGCTGTTTTCAATTCTGTAGCTCTGTAGTAAAGTTTGAAGTCAGGGATTGTGATGTCTCCAGAAGTTCTTTTATTGCACAGGATTATTTTGGCTATTCTGTGTTTTTTGCTTTTCTAAATTGAGTACCGTTCTTTGGAAGTTTTTGAAGAATTTTGCTGGGACTTTGATGGGCAGCAAGTGACCTTTCAATTATGGTCTAATAAATCAGTTTAGTGAAATTCTTGTCAGAGCCTGACTCCTCAAATAGTGGTTTCTCTAGAAGTAAAGAGGTAACTTTTCTTCTCCTCTTTCTGAGATGTCTAACTCTTTTTAGCTTCTTTGTTTTGGTGTGCGTGCGTGCTTTAAATCTTCATGAAGCTAAGTGTTCCAGCAGGAAAGCACATGATGTGCACCAGGCAGCCCTTTGCAAAGCTGCACATTGTAAGATGCTGCAGAGCTGCGAGGGAGTGGGTCCTGAAGCCTCCTCTTCCCGCAGGTGCCCGCGTCTGGCTCTTCATCGGCTTCATGCTGATGTTCGGCTCGCTCATCGCCTCCATGTGGATCCTCTTTGGTGCTTACGTCACTCAGAGTAAGTGTGTACCCTCCTTCATGTCACTCAGAGTAAGTGTGCACCCTCCTTCATGTCACTCAGAGTAAGTGTGCACCCTCCTTCACGTCACTCAGAGTAAGTGTGCACCCTCCTTCATGTCACTCAGAGTAAGTGTGCACCCTCCTTCATGTCACTCAGAGTAAGTGTGCACCCTCCTTCACGTCACTCAGAGTAAGTGTGCACCCTCCTTCATGTCACTCAGAGTAAGTGTGCACCCTCCTTCACGTCACCAGTGCAGTGCACCCTCCTTCATGTCACCACCATTGTTGAATTAGGTTAAATTCTTCCTCTGTGTGGAGACCCATCCCCTTGTGCCCCAAACAGTGAAAATCAGGTTTCTCTTGCCTTGTTTGCACTGAAACCTGACCTGAAAGGACATGTGGCTCATGTGGTCTTTACCACGTTGACTCTAAGTGTTCAAGGTGTATTATTGCAGGAGTGGATGTGAGTCAGGTGTATTTGGCGGTGAGGTGCCGGGGGTGCTGCATAATATCCATTCACTTTTCGTTTGTGTCCAGACTAAGTTAGAACTCGAAGTACAAAGACAGTGCCGGGCAGCGGCTTCTGTTGGTTTGCTCCGAGAACAGACGAACTGTTTCCTGTTCCTCTAGTGAAAATGGGAATAAGCCAGCATTCCCATGAAGGGCCAGGAACTTTGTAAAGTTGTGCTCGTTCCTGTGTCTTCTTCTTAAAACAGCTCACAGTGAGAAGCACCTCAGTTCCGGTCTCTTCTGATTCGGTCAGTGCTGCTCATTCCGTACACTTAGCTGCTTAGAAAGTGAGTGGAGTATTTCCGGGGTCATTTCTGACATATTCCAAAGTTCATCAGATAGCCTTTCTTGGGACTATTGATATGTATAATAGCAGCCACCATTTAGTGTACATTGAACATCTCTAATCTGAAAATTTGAAATCCAAAAATGCTCCAAAATTGGAAGCAGGGGTTCTGAGTTGTGACAGGACAGCACCCATGTTCCAGTCTGTCCCTGACCTTGTGTGGTGGGTTGCAGTCCGAACAGGGGGACTAAAGCTGGTGTGGTGGTGCACACCTTTAATCCCAACACTCGGGAGGCAGAGGTAGGTGGACCACTGTGAGTTCAAGGCAGTCTGGTCTACCAAGTGAGTTCCAGGACAGCCAGGACTACACAGAGAAACTCTGTCTCAAAAAATAAAACCAAACCAAAACTAAACTAAACTAAAACAGGCAACATAATTGAACTTCATGTTGCGTCCCAACTGAACACTTGGTCCCATTCCCGAGCTATGCATATACAGGTGTCCCCAAATCTAAAAGCTGAAATCCGATCCCAAGCATTTTAGATAAGGTGTCAGATAAGGTGAACGCATCTGCTGGTATCGCTCAGTGGTCCAAGTACTGTTGCAAACATTACACGGGTCCCCCATTTAATCCCACTCCTGTATTGTGGGCACTATTAAATGCCCGCGCTACAGAAAAGGAAGTTGAGAAGCTGAGGTTTAGTAACCTGCTCAAAGCGGTGCATTTAGTCAGTAACAGAGCTGGGGTTCAGCACCGAGAACTCAGCTCAGACTTGGAGCTCTCCAGCTGACCTGCTGTTTCGTTTCCTGTGCTCTCAAAAGCTTGAAATGTAAGCATGGGCAATGGTCAGTCAGTGAATGTAATATCAGGAATAGCTAACGCCCTTGTAAGAGTCTGTGCTGGCCCTGCCAGGCACAGGTGGTTTGCTTTCTTGTCACTGGTTTTTTTTTTTTTTTTTGTTTTGTTTTTAAGACAGCACCCCGGTGTTTCCCATGCTGAACTCAGCCTCCCGGGCTGACGCGGTCCTGCGCTCAGCTTCTCACAGCAGTAGAAGCATGGTGCCCAGTCATAACAGCTGTGATATGGCCTGAGTCCTGTGAGTTAGCCAGCGAGAGCCTCATGAGGTCACTGACGTTTATCTAAAGTAATCTTTTAGGGAATGGAATTATTTGTTTCCTTGTGGACACACAGAACGCATCACTCTGAATGGCACGGGCCCTGCGGCTGTGTTCCCTCTAATCTGTTTCATTCTTGTTTGCAGATATTGATGTTTATCCTGGACTAGCTGTGTTCTTTCAAAATGCTCTTATATTTTTTAGGTAAGTTGTCTAATTTCCTTTGCTCTCTTTTATTTTTTATTATCATTTATTATTATTATTATTACAAATTTTCACCTCCTCACCTCCTCCCGTTTCCTCCCCCTTCCCTCATTCCCTCTCCCCCTTCCTCTCCAGTCCAAAGAGCAGTCAGGGTTCCCTGCCCTTTGGGAAGTCCAAGGTCCTCCCCTCTCCATCCAGGTCTAGGAAGGTGAGCATCCAAACAGACTAGGCTCTCACAAAGCCAGTACATGCAGTAGAATCAAATCCCAGTGCCATTGTCCTTGGCTTCTCAGTCAGCCCTCCTTGTCAGCCACATTCAGAGAGACCGGTTTGATAGATTTATTTTTATCTGTGTGCATGCATGGGTGCCTGCATGAGGAGGCCTCAAGAGGGCGCCAGACCCCCAGCAACTGGAAATTGCAGGTGGTTGTGGCGCCCACCGGTGTGGGTGCTGGGAACTGAATCCTGGTGCTCTGCAAGGGCAGCCAGGGCTCCAAGTCGTCTGATTTCTCACCTACACTTAAAGCATTTATGGAAATGTCCACAGCGTTGTAAGAGTGGCGTGGCCATGGAACATCTGAAATCCTGCCACCAGGACCTCACTCATCGTCATATAAGGATATGTTGCCTTTAAGTTGCTGCCACTGCTTAAATGAGTACCCGCTGTACTGTCTGTCATTCATAGGCGAGACATACTCAGAGGAGAAAATGCAGAGAAGGAACTCAAATCCAGACTGTAGATTTAGTCCATCGCCTGTTCTTTGCTTAGCAAAAATCATGCAGATTTATAAGAAAGAGAATAATTCAGGGCTTGAGGTGCACACCTTTAAACCCAGCACTCAGGAAGCAGAGGCAGGAGAACTTGTGAGTTCGAGGTCAGCCTGGTCTATAGCGTGAGTTCAACACTTTGTTATTGGCCAGTAAATGAGGCTCTAGATATATTAACACTAGGTGGTGATGACTGCTGCTCTTCCTCCCCTCCCTCCTCCTCCTGCTCCTCCCCACTTCATCTTTCCCTCCTCTTCCCCTCCTCTGCCTCTCCTTCCTATGGTTTCCCCCTCTTCCTCTTTCTCCCCCCGTCCTCCCCCACTTCACCTTCTCCACTTCTCCGCCTTCCTCCTTTGCATCTTTCTCCTTCCCTCTTCTTTTTCTCTATCCCCACCTGTAGTAAGAGGAAGATGTTTGTTCATTTCCTAGCCGCCCAGACTGAATAACCACACAGAAACTATATTTAAATTACTGCTTGGCCCATTAGCTCTAGCTTCTTATTGACTAACTTTACAAATTAATTTAACCCATTTCTATTAATCTGTGTATTGCTGCAAGGCTGTGGCTTACCCGGTAAAGTTCCAGCATCAGTCTCAGGTGGGGCTACACGACTTCTCCTTGACTCTGCCTTCCTTCTCCCAGCATTCAGTTTAGTTTTCTCCACCTAGCTCTGTTCTACCCTATTAGGCCAAGCCAGTTTCTTTATTCATTAACCAATAAAAGCAATATAAATACAGAAGGACTTCCTACATCACCTGCCTCCTCATAATACAGGATCTTTTTGTATTGCCAAGACTGGCCTTAAACTCCAGGTTCCCATAATCCTCCTGCCTTGGCCTAGGCAGCTGGCACTAAAGGAACCATCATGTCCATTCAGCACTTACATTATACTTGTAGAAGTCAGTACAGCTCGGTGGCTCCCTGCCCTCCTGCCCTGTGCCTGGCTTTCCTGTTGTCTTCTCTCCATGCCTGTGTGACTAGTTTCTGATGTTCTGTCTTGAGGCTCACTGAGCTGAGCTTCAGTGTCCAGGCAGATGCTCATTCCAGCCTCTGTGTTTTTAGCCCTAGAAGCTCAGTTTAGGTCTTGTGGTGTCTTCCTTGTCTCTCCTGAGCATGCTGTGTTTCTGTTCATGTGACTACACCTGACCATGTAAACCTTTTTTGATGACCTGCACTGTTTTCATTCATTCATTATTTCTAGTTATTTTTCAGTTTGGGGCTTTTTTTCATTTGCAGTTTCCTATGCAAATTGTTGGGGTTCTGTTCTGATACAGTGTTTTTGAGCCCAAGTTTCACATATTCCAAGCAGCCGTAGGGTTAGCCCTACTAGCAAAAATTTCCAACACCTATGGTTCTGACTTTGTACAAAATCTAAACCAAGCTCACTGTAGCTGAGGATGACCCTGCACTCCCTCCCAGGATGGGCTGACGGGCTCAGATTCTCCTATGTTAGGATCGACACCACACGCCGTCCTTCACAGCCTGTTTTCATGGCTGAACTTTGACATGTACCTGTTGTCTCCTGCATTAGACAGTTTGTTCCACGGGGAGCAAATTTGTTCATTTTGAGTCAACCATAACCCATCTCTTAGCCAGAGGCTCTGTGCAGTCCATTGTTTAACCCACAGTCATTGCCGAGGAATGGAGAATTACAGTCTGGTCTGTTTTAGGTGCTTCTGTGACCAAGCACAGATAAAGATGCCCTTAGAGGGCTGGAGAGATGGCTCAGAGGTTAAGAGCATTGTCTGCTCTTCCAGAGGTCCTGAGTTCAATTCCCAGCAACCACATGATGGCTCACAACCATCTGTAATGGGGTCTGGTGCCTTCTCCTGGCCTGCAGGAATACACACAGACAGAATATTGTATACATAATAAATAAATAAATAAATAAATTAAAAAAAAAGATGCCCTTAGAGCTGTAAAGTGGCCTTGGACCCACGACTGCCACAAGGCTGCCCCTCTCTCCAGCATATTTCCTACGCGGTAGCTGCCTAGGCATTGTGGGGGTGCTCTTCACCCCCAGACACTATAGTACAGCTACTTCACAAAACAAGGGCATCCCTCACAGCGCGCTGGTCTTGCATTTGGTTGTAGACATTGATAAACGGTCAGTGACGTCACTGATGGGCATGTCTGTCAGAGCCACGTAGATGTGACCTCTGTGCTGCTTGTTCATGTCACCTCACAGCTCTGTTCGTCCCTTTCTAGCACTCTGATCTACAAATTCGGAAGAACTGAAGAACTCTGGACTTGAGATCGCCTCTCAAATTGTACCCTCCTCTTGTTCAGTTCTGTTCTTAGATAACTTTATCTCTGGAATAATTTACACATTGCCAAATGGAACAGATTGTACACTGAGTGTTTGATTTCTTCACAGTTTTATGCTCTGAGATTAGAATTGCTCTTGCAAAATGTCTGTCTTGGTTTTTCATTGGCGGACAAGCTAATATGTACATAATCCACAACCACACAATACATAATACGTGATGCTGGATGTCAGGGTTTATTCCGAGGCGCTCAGATTAGTCCGTGTCCCAAGCTGGGGTTCTATTGTCTTGGTGTTGAGAGGTGAATACTCTGTCTTGGTGTCTGATGTTGGACAGTGAAGAAAATGCACACCTCCGCGTCTCTGCAGAGGCCTGAGCTATCAGAAGGCGAGCGTATTTGCCAGCTGTAATTTATTTTGGCTTGGAATTGAGACTTTTTTAAAAGGAAAAATGTTTGTGTGTATGTATGTATTAGAGAACTGGACTTTTTATATGAAGACTTTTTAAATGCTCAAAGGCCTAGTTTGAAGCCCCCTTTAAAAAGAATTCCTCATCCGTGACTTTTATTTGAGAAGGGATAACACTCTCAGAAAAGCTCCATTTGTTGGAGTTAATGTAAAAGGACCGCAGGTGGCTGAGCACGCTGGAGCAGTGACCCTGAGACACGTGTCACACAAAGTGGGATAATTAGCTAAAGATAGACTTCCCCCTGAAGGGCCACAGCCATTTGATTCTCCTAGCCCTTGGCTCCCATGCTCTCGCCTCCAGCTTCAGGTGACCAGATGCTGCACAACAGCTCGTGTGCTGAAAGCCACACTCCACCCCGGAAGCCCCTCCGCCAAGTCCGAGTGCTGTGCTTGCCCCGTGTCTCTTCCTGCAGGCTTTCCTTTGTTGTGAAGATTCTGTGTTGCACTCTTAACCCCAGAGGGATTTTTATAAAACCTTTTGCAGAAAACAATAATATTAGTGGTAGCATATGCAACTTTCAATGCAGGCCTTACGTTCTTAGCTTGCCTCCCCGAGAGAGAGGCCTCACCAAGCACAGCGCGTGAAGTGGCTGCGGATTGCTGCGCCTTCATCTAGATGCGTCTCGCTTCGTTACTCCGCTGTCAGCCCTTCAAAATGCTGCTTTGTCTGGCTTCCGGAACACGGCGAAGCTAATCACACATTTCCATTCTTAGAGTCTAATGCAATAAATATTCCTCGTACCTGCATTGTACAGCTAGGTGTGCTGGGGAAAATGATCCGCAGCCCTGCTCTCTGTTATTCTCCATTGTCCGAGTTAACCCTATCATGACTTCAGCACGCCAGTGTGGAGGTTTATGAAGGGCAGCCCTGAGGACCTACTGACGAAGCTGCTGGCTTCTTTTGTGTTCATGAATTTTGTTTTAGTTGTGAGCATTCTGTTGATTTTCTCTGTTACCTCAATAAACGAGAGACGCTGTTAGCGCCCTCTCCCAGGTGTTGTGATCAGTAGAAGCCTCGGTGATCCTCTAAATCACATGATTCTCCTAATAAAAGTCTTTATTTGTTACTCAACTCAAGACTATTGAATCTGCGTTTTTTTGTGTGCCAGAGCGTTCTGTAGGCCATTCTGAGATCCTCACCGTGTTATTTTTTGGTTCTTTTGAGGGAGAGTCTCACTTTGTAACCCTGGCTACCCTGGAACACAAAATGTAGACCAGGCTGGCCTTGAACTCACAGAGATCTGCCTCCTCTGCCTCCCAAGTGCTAGGATTAAAGACATGGGCCACCACACACAGCCTGTGTTACTGTGTACGTGTGCATATGTATGCATGTGTGTGGAGGCCGGAGGTCTCCATCTTGTTGTTTGAGACATTCCCTCCCTGGGAGCTGGGGATCGCAAATGAGACTAGGCTGGCTGCTCAGTAAGAGCCCAGCTGTGTCTGCCTCCCCAGCACTAAGATTGCCAACATGTGCCATCGAGCCTCGGTTTACTTGGGTTCTGTGGATCAAACTCGGGTCCTCATGCTGCTTTGGCAGACTCTTTACCAGCTGCTCTGTCTCCTTGGCGCCCTTGTAGCAATAACTTTCCTATTGCCACTGATGAAGACACACAGATTTCCCCCTCTAAGTACTAGTCGGCACGAACATGCCAGGCTTTGAAGATTGAAAGATGGATGGTACTAAACCACATAGCTTGGTCTCTTGAGTAGCAAACTCTGGAGTGTTTGTAATGGACAGGTTGAATTTATGTTCTCCGTGTTTCTCCCTCATGGAAGAAATATTACAGTCATTGTCAATTTAGGATCACTTAAAATATATTTTTTATTACTTGATTTTATGTGTGTGTGTTTCTGTGAATGGATGCATATGAACCACATGAGCATCTGGTGCCAGAAGAGGCCAGAAAATAGTGTCGGGTCCCCAGAGCTGCAGCTACAGGTGATTGTGAGCAGCTGTGAGCGTGTAAGGACAGTAGTGTCAGGTCCCCAGAGCTGCAGGTGATTGTGAGCAGCTGTGTGTGTGTTACGAGCCCAACTTAACTCCTCTGCAAGAGCAGCCAGTGCACTTAACTGCTGAGCCATTTTTCCACACCCAGCTCTTTGTATTACTCATTTGAGATTTGATCATTTCATAAGAAACAGTCTTTGCCATTCTCACAAGTGTATCCCAATTTTTCCATGTACTCTCTGTTGTTCCTTTTGGAAACTACAGCTCCCAGTTTCCTCCTGGATTACGGAGCGCGGGCGTGCACAGGTGCAGGACATTTCTCCCAGATACCCTTGCGCTTCTCGTTAAAAAGCGAGCTTCCACGAGGTCTCGCTCTCTTGCCCTTTACCCTTGTGTGTCTTGCACACCTGTCCCTTATCGTGTCCCCCTCACCCCCCATTAAAGCGCACCCACGTGGGAGCCGCGTGTCTGTGTCTCCTTTCGTGCGTGTTTTGTCTGTCCTGTGTTTGTCTACACACACACACACGCTTTAAAAGAATAATACTCTCCCGAGTACTTGATTATTCTGATCAAAATTATGAAGGGTTGGGCTTCTTTTAGTATTATTTATTTACATGTGTGTGTTTATGTGTCTCTTGTCATTCTGTATATCTGTCTGTCTGTCTGTGTGCCTGCCTGACTGCATATATATCTCTGTGTTTCTGTGTATGTGTTGTCCTTCTGTGTATGTGTGTCTGTGTATGTAGGGGTGTCTGTCTGTGCAGGCCAGAGGATCACCTGGGACAGTTAGTTCTGCTCAGTAGAGCCTGGCTCACAGAACAGGATTCATGGGCACCACTTCTGGCTCTTTTCCTTCTGTGAGGAAATTGGAAGTTGCTGTGATTGACAGGCCCAGTTGAAGGAAACTGGACATCGATTTCATTGTAGAATCCTTTCTTACCTTTAGGAAATTGTGACACGGGTTTTCTTTTCATATCTCATCCCTAGTTTCTTAGAAATAGTCTTTTATTATGTTTTTTCTTATAAATTAGTTTTGGGTTGGAGAGATGGATCAAATGTTAAGAGCACACTGACTGCTCTTCTAGAGGTTCTAAGTTCAAATCCCAGCAACAACATGGTGGCTCACAACCATCTGTAATGAGATCTGGTTCCCTCTTCTGGCCTTCAGTCATACATACAGATAGAACACTATACATGGTAAATAAGTCTTTAAAAAAATGATGTGTTTGCACAGACTGTTTGATGTTTAAAGAGCTTACTTTTTTTTTTCTTTTTTTGGTTTTTTGAGACAGGGTTTCCTCTGTAACTTTGGAGCCTGTCCTGGAACTAGCTCTTATAGACCAGGCTGGCCTGGAGCTCACAGAGAGCCTCCTGCCTCTGCCTCCTGAATGCTGGCATTAAAGGAGTGTGCCACTACACCCAGTTATATTGTTATTCCTTTCTCCCTCCCTTCCTTTTCATTATGTAGACCAGGCTGTTTTGAAGCTCATAGAGGTCCACCTGCCGCTCTCTCCAAAGTGCTGTAATTACAGGTGTGTGCCACTACACAAGGCTGTAGTTTCTTAAAAACAACAACAACAACAAACACTAACACTGTGAAAAGATTAAAATAAGCTAACTAACACGTCACCATGACCACTCCAGGTGTCCTCCACCTCTTTCTTCCCCTTAAGAAGCAAACCGTCTGAGTACACTCCATTTTCTCCCTCGGTTGGTGCTCAGTCCCAGTGGACGCTGTTTAAAGAGTACTGAACAGTTGTCTCTAGGCAAGGGCACGACTGGGTTCCTGAGAGGCACTAGTCACAAACAACAGTGTCTTTAAGTGATCAGCTTTGTGGGTGTTTCACTTTGCTTAATAGATACTGTTGCCCGGTGGTGGCCCACGCCTTTAATCCAAGCACCTGGGGCCAGCCTGGCCTACGGAGGGAGTTCCAGGACAACCAGCGCTGTTACACAGAGAAACCCAATCTCAGGAAAAAAAAAAAATAGTGTTGATGTGACACAGAGAAACCTGGTCTCAAAAAAACCAAAACAAAATAGATACTGTTGACATGTTACATTGGACCCACTATCACCACCTTCTTGTAGCTATAAGCTCTAGACAGAACTTGAACTCAGCCCTCAGAGGCCCTGCTAAACACCAGCAAGAGCAAAAGCTTAAAGGACACGTTCCCAGAGAGACCAGACACCTGTTTCCACCACAGAGCAGAAAGACAGAGTAGTCGTCGTCCCCTCCCCCCCAGGTACCTCAGATCACTCTGCACATATCCTTAAAGGATCAGGAAATTGCCCCAAATACTGACTATGGGGTCACAAATACATTTCAGCAAGTAGACTGTTGGCCATTGTAGGTCCGAGTAACAGGGTGTATAGTGACCGCATGCGTGCACACCGGCACGCACACACACACCGCTGGCACATACACACACCCCACCGGCACACACACCCCACTGGCCTTCGTCCCTCCCACACTGTTTGTTCTCAGCATTCTTGTGCTGGGCCACCATCCCTCCTACTTTTTATGGCTGCCAGTTTAATCACCTGGCTTCTGGGCAGCCTGAGTCATTTCTGCTGCACACAGATAGCTGGTGGGACAGGGTGTTCTATATTCTATATTCTCTCCTCTGCAGTTGTCTTGGGTTCAGAGAGATCAAGGCATTCGTTAGTGACTCGGACTTTTTCAAAACTTCCACGATCCCTTTTGGAGAAAGAAACTGGAAAGCCCTTTGATGTCAAGGAGATTGACCTCCACTCCACCCCTGCCCCCTGCCAAGGGCCACCTGCCTCATGCCCCTCTTCCCTGCCAAAGGACATAGAGTGCAGTTCCCCACGACGTTTCATGTTCCTCGAGCAGAGCTGGATTTCCCTCCTGCCATGAACAGTGTGAATTTTCAGATTAACATTTTATTTTGAATAACTAAAGTCTTACACGGAGAAGTAGCCACAACAACAAAATTCCATGTGACCTTGTTTTTGTGAGAAGTGTTTGACACTATGTTGCAGACTGATGTCTGAAATGCTTCTGTGTAGGTCCTATCATACAAGGCACAGACAGTGTGTCTGTTATTTAAGCAGGAAATGTGTTGGTGACTTCGAGGGAGCTGCCTTTATCTCATCCGCCCATAGGCTAATGCGGGTTAGTGCTTGGTCCAGCCAGCCGGCATGGGCTGAGCAACCCTGCCTTCTCCTACACTGTGCCCAGCCCTCCCTGACTCGTTTGCTTCAGAGCATGCGCCCAAGAATGCAATACCCCCTCTTAACATTTGTGACCCCTGACCTCTGTAGCATAAACCTTGATGATGGGAGTGGCTCTCTTTGTGGCGGTACAGGGACCACTTCATTAACTAGGCCAGCAAGCGCTCCACAAAGGGCCAGGTGGGGTAAATATCAGACTTTGTGAGCCATGCATTCTGTTGCAACTTCTCGGGTCTGCCTGGCAGTGCAAAAGTAACCCGGAAGGAGTGTGCCTCCCCAGCTTCCCGTAGAGCTCCATGGACACCATGGACATTCTTTTTATCTGTGCCTTCTGTTTGTCCCCATATGTGTGCAGGTAACGGAGGTTAAAAGAGGGTGTCAGATGGAACTGGAACCATAGGTGCTTAAGTCATCCAGTGTGGGTGCTGGGAACCGAACCCAGGTCCTCTGGAAGAGCAGCAAGCCCTCAGCTGCTGAGCCATCTCTCCAGCCCCAGGCTCTTGTTTGCCTCTCCAGCTATTTAAAGATGTAAAAATGGCTGTTGGCTCAGAAGCTGCAGAAAATCAGGAAGTGATTCCATTATAATGACTAACGTAAGAGAGGGTCCAACTGGATGTTTTATAGATGATGTTCTCTTGATTAGAAATTAAAGTTCCAAGTTAGCACAAGAATTAATCCTGTTTTCTAGCTGTTTATTACACAGCTAGGCATAGTTTTCCTATTCGAATCTTCTGGTCCTTCTCATAGGCAGGCCTCCCTGTGAGAGGGCTCAGCTCTCGCCATCCTGTTCCAGCTCCCTCCCCGTTGGGGCTTGCCCTCTCCCTCCCTCCCCCACAGCCATCACTCTGCTTCCAAGAGTTCCATGGTCTTGACCATGGTCCAGATGTAGAAACCAAAATAACTAACTAGAAAAAGATATAATTCAAAAA